CCTTAGACCCTCACATCGTACAAGGAAAGTCTTCCAGAGAAAACCCACAGTTTAAAGGGAAAAATGGGAGAAACCTCAGGGAGAGCAACAGAGGAGGGATCCCTCTCCCAGGACGGACAGACGTGCAATAGATGCTGTGTGTAAATTGAAAAGATAATACATTTTGCAACATAGGCAATCATTCACCTGGTTGCTTGCCATATACTGTATACTTACCGTATGTGTTTGTTTATGAATGTTATATGAGAAATGTAAAGAGGACAACTTGGACGTAATCACTGTTAACTACATATCTTCTTCTCGCTTAGAAGAGTTCGAGAGGCACACCACTGAAGACATGACTCTGCAAACACTCAGCACCACTATCAGACACGGGTGGCCCGCTAAACAGCATAATCTTTCACATGCCATTAGACTGTATTTTCCTTTCAGAGACGAACTGATTGTTGCAAATGGAGTCATAATGAAGGGTCACAAAGCAATTACTGTGTCCCAATTCAGCGGCCGCATCCTCCTGAGGATGCATTCGGATACCGCATACGTCACTTCCGCCAAACGAAGGCTGTCCCAATTTAAAAAAAAGACAAGACTCCTCCGAATGCGGCCCGCAAATGCAGCCTTCTTTCCCCAGATTTAGAGGATACATCTGATGTACACTCCGCGGTGTACCATATCCCAGGATGCAACGGGTGACGGTGACGAATGAGTTTTAAAAAAAATAAGGCTTGTAACGTCCCATCAACGGCTACAACGGTTTCAGCTGGATTCGTTTTTAAATGTACTCACCCAAATAGTAAACGACATGAAAGAAAAGTAAACCTATTTAATTTGTGTATTTAAATATACGGGCAATTGGAGATGTCTTCTTTATATTACATACATAAAATAATATGAAGTGAAAATATTTCTAAACCCTGTTTGGTTTTCATATTGTTGGAATGCATTATAAAGCTAATTTATTTATTTAACTGCTTTTTTTATACAAATCTTACTGCAACAATTTTGTTTTGATAGGGAGCAAGGAGCAGACTGCGCAATTTATCCAGATGCGCGGGGAGAATGAAGCCCTCTTCACGGAGGCCTGTTGCGACCTCGGGAAAATAATTTAAACATAACACCAAAATAAGTACAGCTAGATCTGACTCCATATTGAACAGTTTTGAAAACAGTTTTGAAAACAGTTTGAAAACAGTTTGAAAATATTTTGCATAGTGTCAGAAATTATTACCGGCACTTGTGACTGCAGCTGGTTGCTAGGTGACGGGGGCGGCAACATGTAGGGGTAACTGCCGGTGACGTACAAGGACATGCTCCGTAGACCGTCTCATTTCCGTCTCATTTCGCAGTCCGCGGAGGACCCAAGCTGGGTCACTGAATTGGGACACAGCTATGGTATCACAAAGTTAGCTTCCTCCATACAAAGTTAGGTTACCAACCTAAAATAAAACACATGATACACAAATTACTTAAAGCATACACAACAAAAGTCTGTCACCATAAATGCATATTTAAACCAAAACACTCACCAGCGGCACATGTGCCCTGTGGCTGATCAAAACACGAGTGACAAACATTTTGCTGGCCTTTTCAAGATCGCTGGCGGTCCCTCAAATGAGTCCCAAGGGAAACAAAATACTGGAAACAAGGTTCCCTCCCAACTGAGACCTATTTTACATGATAACCTGCACAACTAAACAAGTAGCTTAATGCTTATTGATTTAAATAAATAAATAGAAAATAAACTAATAAACAACCCAAATTAACTCCACACCAACGTTCAAACCTTTTTAAAAAGCGAAAAATATTTGAACGTCTAGTTACAGAGTGAAGAGACAGAGTTTTATAGGACCTGGATCTAAAAACATGTTTTGTGATTATTTCTATATTTTTAAATGACTCACTTTACCTAATTAAATCAGTTTATATTGCAGATCACACAATACTATACATATTGCAGTCACCTGAGCTTGAAGTCTCAGAAGTAAAGAAAAACATGCTTGTGTTTAATTATAAATGAAAGTATAAAGGGCTCATGGAAAGTACCGAGACTGTGGTCAAGAAATGTTCTTGTACTTGTTCACGAGAAAGGAAGTGCTGTCGTCATTGAGTCATTATCATATTTAAGAAGAAGTCTGACTTTAAATATTTTGCAACTGTCAGTGGAAATGCATCCCTCAACAAGTACTTTCTCATAAGCAGAGCGAGAGAAATATTGGAAGAAGAAAAACATGCTTGGACAGCTGGCCTCAAGCGAAGATAATGCTACCTGAATTTATGTTTAGATTGTGTCAGTTTTACCTACAACAACCACAATTTGGTAGAGACTTCAGCTCTTTGGAAATTGTAAGTACAACTCTAGATGAAAATTCTTAAAAGGGTCAGAAATTATATTATATTTCACATTTAGGGCCTTTTCTTTATCACAATACAAAAAAGACTTGCATCAAGGCCATGAAGTAAAAAAAAAGATACAGTGTGTCTTAACGAAGTGCATAGATGGAGTCTCAATTGGTTGCTTAAAAATCAACATTTAGGCTGGCTCTATACAAGTATTGATTTATAAAAGGTGAATTTAACATATTTAAATGTGGATATTACATTGTAATGACAATAAGTACGACATTTAGTATAAATCTGAAAAGTGTTTTAAGTGTTGCACTTTTCCTCTATGAAATAGGACATATTTTCCATGTTAATGCAAACTCCAGCTGTAACCAGACAGGGCTTCAGTTTGATAGGTTTAAGTAACCTATTAAGTCTTCCAGGTTGATTTGTTTAGCTTGCAGCATCGTTCCATATTGTATATGCAAATCACATTCAAACAGCCTTTTGTGTTCTCAGCCAGTATGTATTAAAGGCAGCAATACCCTCACATCTCAGTGTTTACATGTCCACTCTGCAGATAGTGACTGCACCTGCTCATGGTCCTACTCTCTATTCACCTACCCACAACTACTAGAACAACTACACCATGGTAAGTCTTATACACATATAACATAATATGTTTAGTTATAAACCAAATATTAGTTTCTACTGAAATTCATTACTAGACATTCTTCTTAAAGTTTACATTTCCAATATAGGACTTTGTTTCTATCGTTACTCACCCATTGTTTTCTCTTCCCTCCTCTGACTCCCCTTCCTATCCCCTCTCTTGTCCTTTTCTCTGTTTTCTTTTCTGTTCTCTTACCGTCTTTTCTCTAGGTGCTTGATTGTACCAAGATCAAGGATGTCCTGGAGAGGTACTACCTTTCACCGTTTTATGCCGTTGAGTTCTGCGTTGGTTTCCCTGGCAACCTTTTGGTTGTACTTGGCTATATATTTTGTTTGCAGGAGTGGCAGAGCTGCAATATTTACCTCTTCAACCTGGCAGTCTCTGACCTTATTTTCCTCTGCACACTTCCACGCCTCTCGTACCTCTATGCAAATGACCAACCGGAGAAGAGTCCCTATGGTTGCGTTATCAACCGCTATGTCCTGCATGTCAATCTTTACTCATCCATACTGTTTATGGTTTGGCTTAGCATGGACCGTTTCCTGCTCATAAGACATCCAACACGTAACCACTGCCTGTTGAGGCCGAAAATAGCCATGATCGTGTCAGGGCTGAGCTGGCTAGCTGTTAATGCGGAAGTTGCTCCGATGATATCACTGATGGTCCACGACCTTCAGAGAGGAAACTGGAGTAGCTGCAAGGATTTTGCCAGCTTGAAAGGAGAGGTCCATACATTGGGCTACAGCCTGGGGCTTACCCTCACTGGTTACGCTCTCCCTTTGCTTGGACTGTGTGGTTTCTCGTACCAAATTGCACATTTGCTCCATATCCAGGAAAGGGCCATACAGCGCCGGACAACCACGTACAAGCGTCCTCTCAGGGTTGCTGTATCGGCCGCTATCATGTTTCTGCTTCTCTACACACCCTACCATGTGCTGAGAAATATCCGAATAGCATCTCAGCACGACTGGACAGGGTTGCAGCTTTGTACAAGGATGAACATAGAGAGCCTGTACATCATCACAAGACCATTTGCCTTCTTGCACAGTGTCATCAACCCTGTCTTTTACTTCCTCATGGGGGACAAATTCAAAAAGCTCCTATTGGCTAAGCTCAGGAAGCTGATCAGAAAGACAGAGCAGCAAAGAGAACCAGCCTGAAAAAATTCAACATAGTGTCCCTAAATAAAAGAAACATCAATATAGCAAATCCAAACATGTGAATCAGCTCCTTCTTTACGTGTATTTTGTTATACTGATAAATAATGTGGATAATTTATTATGGTGTATTATATTTTATTTTAATGTCGACTAAATAAAGTAATGTAAGACAACCGCTGTAAATGCATTTGATGAGTAGAGCCTGTAGCTATTTTTGTATTAACACTGTTAGGTGTAATAATGTACAGCATGTGTTCCTGTTTTTATCTGTATTTGTATTTCCTGTTTTTATCTGTATTTGTATTTCCTGTTTTTATCTGTATTTGTTAGACACTCATTTGTTGCATCAATATTGATTTAGAAAGTCTAGAGCCTTTTGGCTAAGGGACCAACATGTTAATAAGATCTATAAATTGTAATGCAGAGCAAGAGCAGTCAGCTGGATGTCCTCTTTCAATGCACCCTGCTTCTGAGATAGTAAGATGGGAATATCTCCTTTTGAAAAATGATCTGTATTTTGTGGTAAAACACTGTTGCAACTGAAACTGGAGGTTCATTTTTATAGAGTCAGCATTGTTCAAGATTCAAGGCTTGTATTGTCATTTGTACTATATTACTTCAAAACGAATACAAAATAACTAAAAAAAGAAATGTGTCTTTTCCTTTTCTTTTTTGGAAGGTTAATAAATTGTAAAAAAATATCTATTATCTTTGGCGATGGATCGAGGCATTTTTATTTTCTTTATGTATGCATTATCTTTAAATACAAATAATAATAATGTTGGCTAAAGCAGCACCTCAATGCAAGTCACAGTCAGAATTAATCTAGCAATCGATCAGATATATATTTTTTATATTTATATAGCCCAATATAAAAAATGTTACATTTGTCCCAAGGGGCTTTATACAGACTATGAATATGAAACCCTCTGTCCTTGGATCCGGATCTAAAAACATTTATTGTGATTATTTCTATGTTTTTAAATCAGTCACTTTACCTATATTAAAGCAGTTTATATTATAGATCACACAATCCTATACATATTTCAGTCACCTGGGCTTGAAGTCTCAGAAGTAAAGACAAACATGCTTGTGTTTACTTTAATTATAAAATGAAAGTATAAAGGACTCATGGAAAGTACCGAGACTGTGGTCAGAAAATTGTCTTGTAGTTGTTCACAAGAAAGGAAGTGCTGTAGTCATTGAGTCATTATCATACACTGAACAAAAATATAAATGCAACACTTTTGTTTTTGCTCCCATTTTTCATGAGATGAACTCAAAGATCTAAAACATTTTCTATATACACAAAATAACCATTTCTCTCAAATATTGTTCACAAATCTGAAAAAATCTTTGAGAGTGAACACTTCTCCTTTGCCGCGATAATCCATCCCACCTCACAGGTGTGGCATATCAAGATGCTGATTAGACAGCATGA